TGTAAAATTAACTATTACAGAGAGTTTTATTCCCTGTAGTTTCAGAGAGGCAGAATCTTGTAAGAAAAGCTTCCTACATGGCACAGAAGCCACAGTTCCTTCAAATATGCACCCATTTGCTTTTAGAGCCCAAGGCCCTGAGCAACCAGATGTTAAAAATGCAGGTCCTGGCTTCTCCCTGCCTGAGACCTGCCACATCTCTGGGCAAGGTATGGGAGTCTGCATGACCACATGCAGACTACATGCTATGTATTCTATGTACCACATGCTGCATGCTATGTAAACAGGATAAAGTCCAAACTCCTTCACATGGATGGTGGCCTCTTGAGTGTCTGACCTCTGTCCACCTGTCTAGCACTGGGTCATGGTGTTCCCCCTTTCCTGCCAGTGTCCCTCACCAGGCTCTGGCCAGGAGGACTCCCATTGCGTACCTCCTCCCAGTACCCCCTATTTCATGTCTCTGTGGGGGTCCTGACACTCCCCCCACCTGTATGTTCTTCCTCTTTCTCTTCACTTGGCTGATACTTGCTCATATTTTCAAACCCAACTCAAGAATCCTCTGCATCTGATACCTCTGTGCTAGGATAAAGAAATATTTCATTCATTCAACAAAGAGTTACAAAGGCCTTTCCACATGTCAGGCACTATTCTGGGATCTAGTAGTGGACACAACAGACAAAGGAACATACCTGCATGTAACACATATTCTCCAGAGGAAGACCAATAAGAAAATTTTAAAAAATCATGTAAAATATATGATATGTCAGATAAAAGTGACATGAAGAAAAATAAAGCAGGATGAGGTATGGGGAGAGCATCAATTTGGGGAGTAATCAAGGCAGATCTCACTGATGATGTGGCAAATGAGCAGAAACCTAAAGAATGGTTGTCCCAGAAAAAGCAACAATATCCACAGGGATGCAGTGAGTGAGTGTGATTGCATGATTGAGGCAGGGCAAGGATGTCCATGTGGTTGCAGTGAAAGGAATGAGAAAGAGAAGAGGATGACGTGAGCTCAGAAAGGTCATGAGAAGCCAGAACATGTAACCTTCCTTTTGGCTGTTGTAGGCTCTGACTTGTCCTGTGTGGTTAATCATCAGAAGGTTTGGAGCAGTGGGGAAACATGATTTGACTGACTTTTGACAGACCTTAGATGGCAAAGTAGAAACAAGGGTAGATGTCTTTGTAATGGTTCAAGTGAGAGGTATTCGTGACTTAGATTAAGGGTAGGATGGGATGGTAAGAAATAGCAAGATTCAGGATTAGATGTTAGAACATCAGGGACATATTTGAGACAGATAGCTGTAAACTTTTTTTTATTCTGGTAAAATATAAATAACATAGAATTTACCATTTTTAAGTGTAAAGTTCAGTGATGTTAAATACATTCATATTGTTGTGCAGCCATCACCACCACCTGTCTTGAGAACTTTTTCATCTTCCCAAAATGAAAGCTCTGTACTCATTAAACACTTGCTCCCTAGTACCCCCTTCTTGCAGCCCCTGGCAAACAGCATTCTACTTTCTATCTCTGTGAATTTTACTACTCTAGGTACCTCCTATAATTGGAATCATATGCCATATTTGTCCATTTGTGACTGGCTTATTTCACTTAGCTTAATGTCTTCAAGGTTCATCCCTGTGGTTGCATGTGTCAGAATATTTTTCTTTTTAAAGCTGAGTAATGACGCTTTAACCTCTGAGGCACCCGGAAAGCCCCAATATATCATTGCAGGTATATATCACATTTTGTTTATCCATTTACCTATCAAAGGACACTTGGGTTGTTTCTGCCTTTTGGCTAGTGTTAGTAATGCTGTGAACGTGGGTGTACAAGTATCTATTCAAGTTTCTGTTTTCAATTATTTTGAAATTGAAATTCCAAAATGGAATAGCTGGATCACATGGTAATTCTGTGTTTAATTTTTTGAGGAACCACCACACCATTTTCCATAGCAGTTGCACCATTTTATGTTCCCACTAGCAATACAGTTGCAATTTTTCCACATCCTCTTCACTTATTTTTTTGTTTTTTGATGATGACCATCCTAATGAGCATGAAGTGGTATTTCATTGCAGTTTTGATTTGTATTTTCCAAATAATTAGTAATGTTCAGCTTCCTTTCATGTGTTTATTAATAGACTCCAAAGTTTGACCTAAGCAACTGAAAGAAGGGAGTTGCCAGATGAATAAGATGAGCAAGATGGGTAATAATGTACAAAGAGCAGGTTTTGAAGGAAAAATCTGCAGAATTAAATTTGAGGTACATATTAGATAATAGGGATATTGATAAGCAACAGGACATGAATCTGACATTCAGGTGACAGGTCCAGCCTAGACATATAAATTTGACAGTCACTAACCAAAAGAGCGTAGATAAAATCATGAGATTGAATGAGATCTCAAGAAAATGTTTGTAGAAAAGAGAAAGTCTGAGGCCTAAGCTCTAGGGCCCTTTTATTTGAAGGGTGGGAGATGAGGAAGAACTTGCCAATCAGATGAGGAGCACCATGCTGAGCATATAATAAATGCTGTAAAAATACTTAATGAAAGAATATCACCAGTTTTTTTCTAAACAAGCTTATTGTTCTGTTTCTTTTAATTTGGGGATCCAAACGGATTTGGATTTCAATCCTAACATCTGCATTTTTAAGCATTATTTTATTTAATTATTTATTTTTAGCATTGTCTTGGCAACAATAATGGGCTTCCCCAGTGGCTTCAGAGAGTAAAGAATCTGCCTGCAGTGTAGGAGACCTGGGTTTGATCCCTGGGTTGGGAAGATCCTCTGGAGAAGGGAATGACTCCACTCCAGTAGTCTTGCCTAGAGAATTTCAAGGACAGAGGCACTTGGCGGGCTACAGTTCATGGGGTTGCAAAGAGTCAGACATGACTGAGCGAGTACACTTTGCAATAATAGTGAAAAGAATGACAGAATTTCTTGATGTTTACTTTGTGCTAGGAATGTGGCTAAGGGTATTAGGTTTGGTGTGTCATTTTAATCTCCAAATAAATCTATGAAATAGGCATTTCTCTCCCCTGTGCTAGATGAAGTGACAGAGAATCAGAGAAGTTCAATAATACCCTCAAGGCCACAGAGTTAGAGAGAGGTAGAGCTACAGGCCAAGCAGAATCCAAAGCCTCCTTTTAAGCACCATGCTTTATAACTGCTAGATGTTAAATTAACCCCACCCAATGTGTTTCTTCACCTGTAAAATAAGAAGTATGAGAATGTCCACTTTGTAAAACTGTTAAGTTTATTGACAAATAATGTATCTATTAGCTGACCCAGAGAAGGTTAGATTCTGGGGGCACTTGGTAAGTATTATTTCCTATTTTCCTTTTCCATTTCACTTCTGACTCCTGCTGCCAGACTCAATGGAAACTCTCCTTAGGATCTGATGCTCAGAATTCATTAATTATAGCTTTATTAAACCTACAGTGCATGTGGGCTCAGTCGCTCAGTTATGTCAGACTCTTTGTGACCCCATGAACTGTAACCCACCAGGCTTCTCTGTCCATGGAATTTTCAACCTTTAAGACCTTAACAGGTCCACTGTGGACATTGTCTCTGAAATCAAACCATTAGCAGTGGATTTCTAAAACCCTTGGGAAGACTTTGCAACTTGCTCAATATTGCTCTTGACTGCTGAATTATTCATGTCCCTTGATGGCTTGTGAAGTTGACTTCCTCCTGAGAAGGATTCACAAATGAGACTTGGGCCAGCCACTTGAAGTTTCAGTTGAGTAAGAAGGTGGTGAGTGAAAGAAAGCGAGCAGATAGCAGAGAAAGTGTTGTCAAGTGGCCTGTGAGGCACCAGGAGCAGAAGGGTGGGTATATTCAAAATCTACTCAACACTTTCAGATGCTGACAGTGGGATGGGGTAGAGGGTGGACCAGATTATGTTTCCAAAAACAAGGGATGTTTCTTTTTGAGGACATAGTGTGAAAAAAAAGAAGAGAAAAAAAAATAAGTACCTATTTTGTGCCAACACATATTTAGATGTAATACTACTTGATCCTCAAAAAAAAAAAAAAAACCACAAAACTGGGTCTGGGTTGTCTCTGTCTTACAGGTAAGAAACTGAGGCATCAGGAAGTGAAATAACATAAGCAATTTTAAAAAGAGTTGAGAAATATGTCTACCAAATAGAATTAGTTTGTGAACGACAGAAAATCCAGTGCAATCTGTGTGGAATCACTGAAGGGCTGGCATGACTTTCCACTGTGTTAGAGACCCTGGCTCCTCTTATTGTCTTGCCAACCTTAGCCTGTGGTGTCCCCTTCAGCATCCAAAATGAACCGCTGGAGATTCACCCCAGAAGAAATAATGACACCTCTGCTTATATTCAACTAGGCAAGGCTTGGTCCCTTAGCTGCTCCAAGTTAGAAGGGAGGCTAAGAAATGTGGCAGTGTGCCCATAGGAAAGGTAAGGGTTCTATTTCTAAGTATGAAGGAGAAAAACAGATACAGGATCCACCAGTAATCTGTGCTCCTAGGTAGTTAAATCTAGGTCTCTTTCACGCCAGAGGACCCCTACTCCACCATTTCTACTATACTGCCTTCCTTAAGAGAAGTGCCATTGCCACAGAGATCTCCATCAGGCTAAAAGTGTCCTGTGGGCAACCGTAATAGGAACAGCCAGGTTGCATAGGTTCTTGTGAGCCAGGCACTATGCAATGTGCAGGGTAGCACTGCCTCATTTAATCCTTCAGTAACCTCAGTAAGGGGTTTCCCAGGTGGTGCAGTGGTAGTGAACCCGCCTGCCAGTGCAGGAGATGCAGGAGACACGGGTTTGATCCATGGGTCAGGAAGATCCCCTAGAGCAGGACATAGCAACCCACTCCAGTATTCTTGCCTGGGAAAGTCCATGAACAGAGGAGCTTGGCGGGCTACAGTCCATGGGGTCGCAAAAAGTCGGACATAACTGAGTGGCTGAGCAACCAACTGACTGACTGAAACTCATAAAGCAGGAACTTCATTCTCCCCATTGTACGAATGAGGAAACGGAAGCCAGCGAGATTATATAGCATACCCAAGCTCACACAGAGGGCAGACAGCTTCTGGATCCACACGTTGTATGGCATCCACACAATGGCAAATAGGATCTACATTCAGGCAGCGTAGACTCCACAGCCTAGTCTTTTACTTGTTGTGCTTGTCTGTTTCATGTGTATTACCATTCAGGGCATCTGCTTCTGCAAGTCTCTCTTTGGATTCCTATTCCTCAGTGTAGTCACAATGCCAAATTTCATGGAATAACCTTTTCAGGGATGCTTTGTTCTTCACATGAGAAAACCCCATTTATGTTAAGATTTGACCTGGCACAGCTTGACTCCATTGAAGAGAAAAATCAGTCTTTTTTTTTAATCAGTTGGAGTATCAGGTGTGCAGAAAAGTTAACATAGCGCATCTGAGACTGCTCCTTAGCTGGCCTGTTTGCAGCCTGTTCTTGGCTGCCATCTGGGAACTTGGATTTCCAGAGGGTTTCCACCACCGACACCAATAAGAATATCTCAGCAGGCCTTAACTTCTGCAAACAATATAACTTCTGTGAGTGCTTGCTTTCCTTCTGGGAGTCTGGAATTTTGGTAATGCCCAGGAGAAGTTGTCTACCTGACTGTGCTGTGCTTGGTCGCTCAGCTGTGTCCAGCTCTGTGACCCCATGGATTATAGCCCACCAGTCTCCTCTGTCCATGGGATTCTTCAGGCAAAAATACTGGAGTGGGTTGCCATGCCCTCCTCCAGGGGATCTCCCTAACCCAGGGATCGAACCCATATCTCCCACATTGCAGGCAGATTCTTACCATCTGAGCCACCAGGGAAGCCCATGAATACTGGAGTGGGTAGCCTATCCCTTCTCCAGTGGATCTTCCCCACCCAGGAATCGAACTGGGGTCTCCTACATTGCAGGCGGATTCTTTACCAGTTGAGCTACCAGAGAAGCCTGTCTACCTGACTAGCCCTGAATAAAAACCTTGCTAAGTCTTCAGTAAGCTTCTTGGCAGGCAGTATTTCACATGTGTTGTCACAACTCCTTGCCAGGGAAATCCTGTGTGACTCCATTTGGGAGGGATTCTTACAAACTTTCATCTTTTTTTTCTCCAGACTCCCCACCATCCCCACCACTGCCAAGCTTGTTTTCTACTTGCTGATTTTGCTTTGTATCCTTTCTCTATAATTAATCATAGCCATAAGTATGATTATATGCTGAGTCCTATGAGTTCTCCCACAGTGATCATAGCTGTTGTAACAAATAAATGTCAAGACTTTAGAGGCTCAACACAGTAGTTTATTTCTTGTTAGTGCAGAAATCAAGACCAGCGCTCCTGGTGAGCCGGTAGCCTTCTGCTCAGTCACCGAGGACCCAGGCACTTTCCATCTTGCACTCCACATTAAGTTGGCAGATAGAAAGAGAGACTGTGGAAAGGACATGCCTTCTGCTTAACCCTCCTCTTAACCTTAACCCCAACATTGGACCTGAGATGACATCCATCCACCTCAGGCCACATTCCACTTGTAATCACTAGTCATGTGGTCCCATATAGATGCGCAGGGACTAGGAAATGGATCTTGGCTTGGTGGCTGTTTCTCTGCATCAACTCTGTGGAAAGCAAGCGTGAATCTTTGATGACCAGCAACAGTACCATAATAGATACTTATTATGAACCTACCCCGTGCTCAACTTCATACCAAATGCTCTGAGACAATATGAAGAAGTCAATTGTTCATGCCTATACAGACCTTGATGTGTTAACGGGAACTGGTCAACCCCAAGGATGAGGAGGGAAGGTTCCCCTTTTCTGGGAAGTCTTTGACTACACCATTCCTCTGTGCTTCCCTAGTAACTGGTGCTGATCACTTTCATAGCACTTAGTGCACTAAAACCAACCATAATCTTATCTGACTCTCCCACTGAATTATATTTTTGAGTTCACAACTTCAGTTGCCTTATTCATCAACGCGTATTTCTAGTACTCAGCACAGAACATGGCACATCTGAGATATTGGGTAAATGCATAAATGAATGAAAGCTTAAGTAGAATAGTGAGATGCAGTGCAGTACCGTACTGTGAGCACGAGTTAGTCAAATCTTATCCCTTGTGACCTTGCAAAAGTTGCTTAATTTCTCTGAACCTCAGTGGTTCATTCTTAGAATGGGGACAAAGATACAAACTTTTCAGGGTTGCCATGAGGATTTTCTGAGATCCTAAATGTGTATTCAGCACCTAGCCCTGTCTCTGTCTTGTTTCTGAAGTTACAGAGAACAGTTTTTCACCAGGGAGTATGATGTTGGCTGTGGGTTTTTCACAGATGCCCTTTATTGGGTTGAGGGAGTTCCCTTCTCTTGTTTGGTCAGTGTTTTTGTCAAGAGGAGGTATTGGATTTTCTCAAATGGTTTTCTTCTGTCTGTTGAGACAATCTTATGGGTTTTACCCTTTATGCTATTCATGTGATATGTCACATTAACTGATTTTCAGATGTTAAATCAATTTTGCACTTCTGGGATAAATCCCACTTGGTCATGGTATATAATCCTTTTTATACATTGCTGAATTCTGTTTTCTAGTGTTTTGTTGTATTTTGTTTTGGTTTGGTTTTCAGGGGTGCTTTCTGTGTCCCCAAGTGTTTCAAACCCTTTGCTTGATTCCCATGTCACTCCCCAGAGGCACCTAGGGAACTCCTTATTGGTTTATCCTGGGGGCAATTTCTAATAAATCACTTCCAGTCAAATCCTGTTCTCAGGTGCAGCTCGTGGGGATCAGCCCGAGTCACTGCCAGGGTCAAGGCCCTCTCTGGTCACTGTGGCCCTTCACACACACCCATACCCACACCCACATCCCTCGGGCTAACCCAGCTCTGTGACTTTTCCCGCAGGTGATCTACGCCCTGAACACCCGCCAGGATGAGACCGAGGCGGGCATGGAGGCGCTGCGCGAGGCCCACCAGGAGGAGCTGCAGCAGGCGGTGGCGGAGACCGAGGCCAGGCTCCTGCAGGCGCAGGGCCGCGCGGGCGAGGAGGAGGCCCTGCGGCAGCGCATCCAGGCCCTGGAGAGCGCCCTGGAGCTGCAGAAGCGGCTGACACAGGAGGCGCTGGCCCAGTCGGCCTCGTGCAGGCTGGAGACCCAGGAGAGGGAGCTGAGGGTGGAGGCCGAGCACGCCGAGCGAGTGCTCACCCTCTCCAAGGAGATGCTGGAGCTCAAGGCCAGCTATGAGAAGAGGCTCCGGCACCTGAGTGGCCACGAGGCGCCCCGGTGGGGCCGGCTCGACCAGGAGAGTCCCGAGCCCAAGGCCGAGCCGGGCTGCGGCCCCGAGATGCGGGAGGTCCTGCTGGAAGTGGAGCGGCTGCGAACGGAGAACCAGCAGCTGAGCAAGGACTATGCACGGAAGGCCGAGGAGCTGCAGGCCACGTACGAGCGGGAGAACGAGGCGGTCCGGCAGGCGATGCAGCAGTCGGTGAGCGAGGCCCTGTGGCAGTGGCAGGAGAAGGAGACCGACCTCCGGAAGAACTTCCAGGCCCAGGAGGCAGCCCTCCAGGCCCAGGTCCGGAAGCTGGAAGGGGATCTGGAGCACAGAGGCCGCAAGATTAGTGACCTGAAAAAGTACGCCCAAAAGCTGAAGGACCGCATTCAGGTAAAGCAGGGGCTCTTCCTACCTCCCAAGCGTGAGTAATGACCGGTAGTAGGGCCGCAGTGTGGCCGCAGTAGGAACACCTACCACGCATCAGGCACTGTGACTTCTGCCAAAGTGAGCATTATTACCTTCATTGAGTTCAACCACATTCATTAAGGAAATATTTATTGAACACTACTATGTGCCATGCCAGGGCTGTGTTCAGGAGACACATGGTAAGCTAGACTTGATCCCTGTCCTTTGAGAGCTGAGAGACTTACAATTTACAGATAAGAAGATAAAACTGAAATTGAGAAGCTTAAGGAGGGGCTAGCTAGGCACACAGCTGAAAAGTGTTTGAACTCAGTTCAGCCTAATTCTAAAGCACTTGCTATCTTCATAACAACTTGCCTGTCCTAACGTCCTTGAGGCTTTATATTTGTGGAAAACTAGACCAGTGACAAGTTAGTTATGTGAGGCCCACAGTCTCACAGAGCCCCATCTCTAAAAGTAACACCAGCTAGTATCTTTCATACTTCCTGAGCATTGTTTTCTGTCCCAATTTATCTCATTTAATCCTCACTACAGAAAGGTTGAGGTTTCCCAAGTGGCACTAGTGGTAAAGAACCCACCTGCTAATGTAGCAGATATAAGAGATAGGAGTTCAATCCCTGGGTCCAGAAGATCCCCTAGAGGCGAGCATGGCAACCCACCCCAGTATTCTTGCCCAGAGAATCCCAAAGACAGAAGAGTCTGGCGGACTACAATCTATAGGGTGACAAAGAGTCAGACATGACTGAAGCAACTTAGCACAGCACAGAAAGATTAAATAATTTGCCGAAGGTCACATAGCCAATCAGAGGATGAATCAGGATTTGATGAACACTGAGCAGTTGAATTCCAGAGATTAATGGCACATGCTGTGCATTTACCACTTTTCAGAGCTGATGTACATTGGCTGTATCTGCACAGAACTAGAGAAGTGACACCCTGTCTCTCTGTTTAGGACCTGGATGTGCAACTCAAGGAGGCTCGACAGGAGAATTCAGAGTTGAAAAGCACGGCAAAAAAACTTGGGGAGAAGCTGGCCATTGCCAAAGATAAGCTGATGTTGCAGGAGTGTCATGTGACACAGAAAACCGGTGAGATGCCCCAGCTGATTTCCTTACAGAGCAAAGGTTGGCCACCAGGTTGGCTTAGCGCTGCTTGCAGCCTTGAGACTGTTAAGGGAGCAGAATGGAGGGCAGGGCTGTTTGATCTGACCTGCCTGGTGGTGAGTCCCATCATGCAAGACACAAGCAAGCCAATACCCAGAGCTGCCACAGGTCAGGCATGATGCAGAAGGATCTCTGGCTCCCAGATAGTTCTCCATCCAGTCTACCATAGTGCCTGAACTTCTCAGTTCTGGCTTTTCCCTAGACTTAGACAACACTTTATACTCTTAACAGCTTTCACACAGTAATGTTATTGGATGTTCCCAGTAGTTCTGTGAGTTAGGTATTGTCAGTATCCCATGTCACAGATGAAGAAATGAACCAGAGAAAAGTTATGTGGCTAGCTTAAGGCCATCCAGCTGGCTGGTGATAGAGTAAGATACATAGGTTATCTGACTCCAAAGTGCTTTCTTTGAGATAAGGTTAGATAACATCACTGACTCAGTGGACATGAACTTGAGCAAACTCAGGGAGATAGTGGAGGACAGGGAAGCCTGGTGTGCTGCAGTCCGTGGAGTCACAAAGAGTTGAACATGGCTTAGTGACTGAACAACAACAAAAAAGTGCTTTCCACTGAGCTCCCTCATCAGAAAGTTCTTGAATATGTATAGTGTGATCAGCTTGACACTGGGATGTATAACAAGGTCACAAAACATAGGCTCTGCCTCCAGGGAGATTATGGGATTGTTACTTTACAGCCCACAGCATGCTTTCATATCATGAGTGCATCCCAGGCAGCAGAGGAACAAGGTGTCTGGGAAAGAAGAAATCACTTTGGGCTGAAAAGTGTGAGTTGGAACCAGAGGGTATGGTGGTCTCAGAAGTAAGGCATGAGTACCTTGGGGAATATGGGAAGAAACCGAGCAATCTAATCGTATTTAATTTTTGTCTTATACTTGAAATCTCTTTAAATTTAAATCCTTTGAATGTACATATGTTCAGGAACATCCTCAATTTTTTAACCTATGTAAAAGATGACTAGTTTAAGAAGGGAGAGCAGGGCAACTATGTGAACTCAAGATGCTACTCAGGCAAAGATGACAATCACCATCTTGACCATACTTGAGGCCAGAAGGCCGTGGAGCGGGGATTACGTAGGGGAGTTGAATAGCAGAATGGTAACCTGCAGAGGCCTCAGGCACAAGGCCCAGGCCAAGGGCATTCCCCAAGATGTTGGAACTTGTGCTTGCAGATGACATGAAGACAGAGAGAGTTTCAGAGAATGAAGTCCTAGGGAAAGAGAATGATTTGGAAACCTGCAGTCTCCATCCTCAGCAGGACCAGAACTTTGCCAAGGAGTGTCCCTGCACAAAAGGAGGCACAGATACACAGGTAGTGTATGACCCAGCCCTGGGGATGGAGCAGTCACGGGGGGCTCTGCTAGAACAAGCTTCAGAGGGAGGCCAGCCCCAAACCATGAAACAGGTCCCATAGTGTCAGGGGTGAATGTGTAGGTATGAAGTTCCAGCCGATATCCTGCCAACTGCATGTCATTTGAAAGTAGGAGACTGAGAATGTAGCGGAATTCTTCCAACTCCTTATCACCAGCTCCTGGGAAACTGGAAACTTGCTTAAGATTCCTGCTATATGTTCCCAGTCAAAACAAAGCATTTTTTTGGGTTTTTTTTTTTAGAAAGCACTATAGTGTGGGCTGGAATACCTGATCCTATGACAATAGATGCATTACTCCAGAAAGTCCTTTTCTGATGGTGGATAAAGTGAAGTTTCCTACAAATATCAAACACGTCATCTTATAAATTTTACTGTACCTTGTGATACATGCTTTAAAATCAGTAATCAACATTATAGAAGTTGCACAAAAGAGAAATGGTGATTTCCTGTTCTCTCCATCCTGGCAGTTTTACAAGCCCTTTTTCTTTTCATAGACCAAGAAAGAAGCATGCATTGAGACAGAATTTATGAAGCAAAAATATGAAGAAGACCTTCGCAAAATCAAACATCAGACAGAAGAGGAGAAGAAACATCTCAAAGACCAGCTAATGAAGCGCCTAGAAGACTTGGTGAAGAAGCACACGGTGGAAATCAAGTCAGTTCGCTCATCGGTGGAAGCTGAAAGGAAGAGACTGCAGAAGGTGAGACTCCATTCCAGAGCTACCATTCCTTTTGTTCTTCCTTGCCTCTACCTTCTTCCTTTCCTATTTGTTTCTTTTTTCCTTCCTCAAACATTTATTGAGCTCCTGTTGTGTACAGATCTCAGCTAGTTCTCTGACCAAAGGAAGTTCAGTGTCTTCTGGAGGAGACAGGGCATCCCAAGACCATGAGACAGTAGGGCCTAGAGTTATTAGCATGGGGTGGAATTGTGTCACATGAGTGTTTAACTTAGGGAAATTCAAATCCTCTATTCTGCAAAAGCAGAGAGAAATAAAATGAAGCGAACACGTGGACCTGGCAGACTGCCTGGATTCAAATCCCAGCTCTGCCAGCCTCCAGCTGTGGACAGTTGGGTCTCTCATAGAAAATCTCGGTGGGCCCCATGTTCCTCATTTATAAAACAGATGTTGATAATAGCACCTAACAGAGTAGCTGCAAGGAGTACATGAAGGAATCCATGTGAAAAAACAAAGCAGATCATAGTGCCTGGGGTGTAATAGACACTAGGTGAATGCAGGTAATTGATTAATCAGTGGGTCGGCAGTGGGAGAGAAGTTTCTCAGCCTCTGAGTACTGCTCCAAATTCCCACAAAAGGAGGTGCTTTCTGCTCAGAAAGAACACAAAGCCTCATCCCTCGTGTTTGCTGAGGAAAGAAAATAACATATGTATTTGAATGTTTTAGGAAAAGAGTGAAGTAAATCAGCATTATTGTAAGCATAGGTGGTGCTTTAATTATTATAAGAAGGCTTCTTTCTAATCTAAGAACTTGCATTATTAGCTTGGAGTTTTCATTGAAAGAGAATCATATATCACTGAGGAATGCAGTGTGTGGTGGTGAAAAGTAGTAGATACTCAATAAATATGTGTTAGATAAATAAACAGTCTCATGAAAGACTAGTATTGGGTCCAAGTCCTGACTCTGATTGGCTTTATGACCATGAACTGGTCATTTAACCTTTCCAAAAATAAAGATAATTACTTTGGGGGCTTGTTATGTGCATTAAATATGGTTTTGTATATAAACTTTTAGCTCAGTGCATAAACATGTACTCAAAGTTTGATAAACAGTGGTTGTGATTAGTTACCATGTGCATTAGATGACATCATGTGTGATAATATTATTTAGTGACCACTGTACATTATAAAGTGACTTCCCTGGTGGCTCAGATGGTAAAGCATCTGCCTACTATGTGGGAGACCTGGGTTCGATCCCTGGGTTGAGAAGATCCCCTGGAGAAGGAAACGGCAACCCACTCCAGTACTCTTGCCTGGAAAATCCTATGGACGGAGGAGCCTGGTAGGCTACCGTCCATAGGGTCGCAAAGAGTCGGACACGACTGAGCGACTTCACTTTCATACTTTATAAAGCACTTATTCTTATGAAAACATTTAATCCACCCAACAGGGATACAAAATGAATGTTCGTATTGCCATTTCAGAGATGAGAAAACTGAGGCTCAATGATGTTATATAACTGCTCACACAAACAGTGAGTGGTGTAGCCACATTAAAACCCAACAGCCTGACTCCAGAGCCCATGATTTCCCATCCCTGCACAGGGTGGGAAGCAGCTGTATTGAAAGCACTTTCCTCCCGACGAGCAGTAACTGGTTGCACAAATCCAGCGCTCATGTAGCTGAACCCCCTTTCTATCCTGAGCCACAGTCAGTGGGAGGGATGGTTACTCTCCTGGAGCTACAGGTTGCCCTGGTAACCTGTCAGCCAAGCCTGACTCTGAGTGTAGAAATTCCATTTCAGCTCTAATCAGGGGCATGGATCCATTTGGGAAATGAATCATGTAGAAATAAATTGCATTTCCTCCTGCTTTTTTTTTTTTTAAATTATGATCATTTCTACAAACTGAGGACATAAATTACATAAATTAGGCCATGTAGACTAGAGGAAGGTAAAACCTTGAAGAGGCCCCAAATCAGGTATTCATAGACTAAAAATAGATACCTGTTTCCCCTGTAGAGTTAAAGAGGGCACTGTTTCTTTGGGCCCTTGAGTACAAGTGTGTTATGTATCCTGAATGCTACCTTAACCTGAAAAAGATGCTACAGGAGAAGGACTGGAGTTGACCCAGAGGGCCTATCTGCCTTCCCTGTCATGGGATTAGAGGATATTATTACTTAATCTTCAGACAGAGCAGAGTCATGTCCTATAATTAGCATTTGCCCACACATTCTTAGAAGACCATGGAAAGGTTTATTGAGTCTCTACTGAGCTGTGCTAGGCACTGCTGCACTCTACACCTCATTTGTGTCACTTACGATTCTGGGTGTCAGGCATCACAAACCCACCCTGGGCGCTTTAGGCAAGAAAGGAATATAGTAAAGGGCAGTGAGAAGCTTTCTGGAAAACCAGGGAACAGGGCTTGGCAGCTACTCAATAAGTGATGAGGACAGCCTGCCACCACCTCTGAGGCCAGACATGCCATGTACACAGCTGACAACTACCAACAATGGGCCCTGGATGTTGCCTGCAGAACTGCGCTGTCTAATTGGCAGCCTCTTGTGGTTATTTCATTTAAATTAATCACAACTAAATAATGTTTTAAATTCAGTTCCCCAGGTGAGCTAGCCATATTTCAAGTGCTTAATTTCCATATGTGGCTAATGGCTCCGGGAGTGGATAGCACAGTGCTGAAGAACTTCTACACATAAGCCTTAGAATATTTCCATCATCCCGGAAATGTCTGTCAGTTGGAGCTGCTCTAGAATGGGTGGCCCTGCTGCCCCTGGGAAATGCAGTTGCCAGATCCTTTTTGTTTCAGTGACTCCAGCTTGTACATATCAATGGCTTCCAATTTGAAATCTGGGGTGAGTGTGTCTGATGGTCACATGCCCTCAGTCCTCTTTGGAAGGGGGTCTGGGAAGGTAAGTCTGACATTTTCTGGTTCTGTGGCGGGAAGATGGCTCTGATGTATCAGATGGAGAATTTCTCAAACATTCCGAGAAGGATCAGATGCTGTGCAGCTAAAAGGAATGACAGCTCTCCAGTCCATGATTTATTTCTTACCTCAGCCCCGTAGCCCTGTAGGCTTTCCCCTTTCACAGATGAATCATGGCTGCATAACCTTTACTCTCTGTCTATGTAGTAAGGAAGAATAAACATTGCCCTGGGTCTTGGAGTGCAGCCTTTAGGTCTTCACCCTGCCAGCATCGCTTTATGGTTTATTTATCATTCATTGAATGCATACTTGGTGTTTTGGATATAGGAATCAGCCATGCCTTCAAAGAGCTCACTGTCTAGTAGGAGAAACAAGACATGCACTCAAACATCAGTCAAGTCAGTGTGTAAGAAGTGCTGTGCCTGGGGAAAGAGCCTCATTGTCAAATCTTGAATAAGTTAACCCAAAACATTCTAGGCCTCTGCTTTCTAATTTCAATAATAAATATGAATGTGAATGATTTTCTCAAATTTTTTTCAACTTTTTATTTCTACCAACTCCCAAAATACTCTTTGTTATTTAAAACTAGGTTACTTAATTTCCAAATATTTAGAACCATACCAGATATCTCCCTCTACATGAATCAGCCATAGGTATACATTTATCTCCTCCCTTTTGAACCTCCCTCCCATCTCCTTCCCCCTCCTACACCTCTAGGTTGACACAGAGCCCGTTTGAGTTTCCTGAGCCATACAGCAAATTCCTGTTGGCTATCTATTGTACATATGGTAATGTAAGTTTCCATGTTACTCTTTCCACACATCTCACCCTCTCCTCCCCTCTGCCCATGTCCATAAGTCTATTCTCTATTTCTCCATTGCTGCCCTGTAAATAAATTTTTCAGTACCATTTTTCTAGATTCCGTATATATGTATTAGAATACGATATTTCTCTTTCTCTTTCTGACTTAGTTCTCTGGTGGTCTAGGGTCTTGGAGACTGTGCTCCCACTCCAAAGGCTCAGGGCTTGATCTCTGGTTGGAAACAAAGATTCCACAAATGGTTTGTTATGGCATTAAGTGAGATTAAAACAAATACCCAAAAACGAGAAACCAAAGACGAACCCCAGACAAATGGCAGTTACAAAATCAGGCAAATGATAATTAAAATAATGGAATACACACACGCACACACACACATATATATACACACTGATGAGCAAAGTCAGCACAGTCCAACAAAAATAAAGTACAGTGGATTGACCCAGCAAACAAAGGAAATAAAATATTTACCAGTTAAGGGCAAAATTAACTAAAACACAAACTGGAAAACAAAACTAAAGCAAGGTGCCAAGTGGGGAATGAAGCAGTGAAAACAAAACTAACAAATATATAGAGAGGAAAGGAAAGAAAGAAAGAATAGATATGCAAAGTTAAATAGAAGTAGATGAAGAAGATTTGTATACCTTAAAGATTAACTGCAAGGGGAAAAGAACAGTTGGAGAGGCAAACAAAGGAATAAATGTAGAAAAAATATAATAGGTTTAAAAAATTAAAAATTAAAATTATAAAAAAGAGAGAGGAACAAAAGGGGGGGATAACTGCAAAAGCCCAAAGTAGAGGCAGAGGTTTATAACAACAATAAATAATGTGATTGAGAAAAAAAAAAGCTCAAAAGCTTAATTAGATTTCATAGTGAAAAAAAAATCGACACCTAAAACAGAGGGGGGATAAAAGGAAAAAAAAATCCAAAAGAATCTATAGAACAAGTCAAAACATAAGAATAACAAATGTTTTTCTGGAGTCACTGCTGTCAGAGTCCTTTCCCTCGCTGGGGTCACAGTCCACCCCCACTCCCTAGGACGCCCTCCAACACTGTGCTGGTCGCTGGACCTGCTGTGGGGGCAGCTCAGATTCTAATCTGGTCCTGCTCCTGTGTGTTCTTGCCCTCAGTGTCCACAGCTATCAGAGCTAGTGCGTTTTCTTTCGTAGGAGCTCTCAGTGACCTTTTATGTATTCCATAGACACAGAGTCTGCCTAGTTGATCGTGTGGATTTAATCTGAAGCTTGTACAGCTGGTAGGAAGGTT